CAGTGACTGAATACTATACATAGACAATGAACTACCAAATGCTCCCAAAGCAGGAGCCAACAAATAAAACACCCGCCCTCCCTTCATTCCACGGGTCTATTTCCACACACCCTTGCTAGGACTACCCGCATTGCCTGGACTTGCGGCTGAAGCGGCGCCGAGCAGACTTTAGCCAAACCCGCAATCAAAATGATTCAAAATCCAACTTCCATGAACTCTCGTTGAATTCCTGTGCTTCCTCGGAACAAAAGTTGCTATAGTAACCTACTAGGTGGAGGCCAACGCCATTAGGTTGGAGGCCATCGCTACTAGTAACAAGGGTGCATTTCTACTAGTAGCTCGAAGCTACAGTTTGGCAAAACCCACGACCCAACCTTCCCTCTCGAAGAACATGACCGTTCCACCCGCCCGTCGTCGATGCCCCGAGCGGCCAGGGCCAGGTCGTTCACGCTGCTCTCCGCCTGGATCAACGAATGCCCCACACCTGCGGTGTGGTGTGGAAGCGGGTGGTCACTCGGTGGAAGCTCTAGGTGATGACTCGGTGGTTTGAACATGTTTGAAAGAGTTGATCAGAACAGAATCGTCTTCAGTTGTTGCACTGGATAGAAACCGCACCTGTTGCTTGCGGAAATCGCTTGTTCTGCCCAGATGACTTACAAGACTCAGAAGAATGAAATGAAAGAACTAAAACTGCAGCAGAAACAATAGGCATCATACTGTAGTTCCTTGACTCCTGGGCATAACAGCCGACCCGCACTCGGCTCCAAAAATCATCCATCTACGTCCAAAACATGTGGACGCAGCGACTGGCCGGAATCTCTGGTGTCTCAGCCTGCATGTCCCAAGGATCGAAACATGGAGCCTCCCTGAGGAACATCTGGTGGAAACATCGTGCGCTTCCAGGATTCTTGGAGCGACTGAAACAACAGACTTACAGAATGTGACTGTTATCACTGCAACGCTGAATACGAAGATGGATTTGTCTCAAAAGCCCGACCCCGACCAGCTCCACCGGAAGGCTCATTGAAGGCTCATGTTCCGCGTGCTGCCAGTGATTTTGTGGTACCTCCCCATTTTGAGAACAACATACTAATGTTGAGATCTCACGCATGTCATCGCCAGGATACGGTTTTGTTCTTGCTCGAAGGCTTCCTCAGCTGTGCTTGAGTATTGACTGTCCAAACGCACACGGCGGGTTGCAGTACAAGTACAAACATGTGTGTCCCACACCGCTTAGTTCTCAATAAATCTTGTGAGGAGGGTTGCGGGTTGCGGTCTAGACGTCTGAATTAATTGGCAAATCAGTAAGTCCATATAGGGAACTTCCGATCGTATGATGTTTTCGCTGAGCAATTGACTTTTGCATGTTCCTGAACTGTTGGATTGGTTGACACTCAAACATTGGGTGTGTGTCGAATCGGCTTGTCCCGAAAATGCGAGAAGTGTTCAACCATGCTGGGCTCCCACAAGAAAACAATAGAATACATGCAGTCGGTTCATAAGCTGTGGAAACATCTCAATCCAATGCCCACTTCTCCAAACCAGAGGTGGCATTTGGTCTTCCAAATTCACTGAGTTCTTTAACCCCACCCCTACCGGAGACAAAGCCAATTCGCCAAGTTCTACCATGTCCGAAACCACGGACCTCCTTTGGGCTCCTCAAAACCACCACGCCCACCGGTCGCGCTGATTTCACGGTCACTGGTCACTCAGGCGAGGTGCCCTCAGCATGGTGGACCGAAGCTCCTCGGTCTTCGCCTGACGCGACAGCTCTGCGGCCTCGTTCTGGGCCTCCTCGAGCTTCTCCTCGACGGCAAATGCTGCAGGTCCCCATGTGTCCCCAGTGGTGTGTTAGATGAATGAACCCTGATGCATGCTGCAGACCCTGCTTGATTGTAATTAAAACTTCATATGGAGGTTTCATCAAATAGTCGTGCACGTGAGGATCGTTGATCATCCCTTACTTCATAGAGTGTGTTTTCCTTTTTTTTATAATGTAATGTAGTTTCATCTCCCTCATGACTCCACTAAGATGCACTGAGTCAACCAGACTCCTCAAACTCTCCAAACTGCTGCACCCCCCACCCTCACCCTCTGCGATCCGTCACCTGGGTCTCTCGGAAGCGCTGCAGGGCCGCCGCATGGCGTTGCTGTTGCAGGGCGAGGCCGTCGCGTAAGGCGGACAGCTCCACCTCCTGCTGTTGGATCAACGACGCTTGACCTGGGCTGGGCCGCCGGTGGGGCGGGATCAAGAAGCGGCTGTGAGGGCTGGAAATCGTTCATGAGGTTGAAAGGGGTGGAGGGGTGGGAGAAGTCATGAATTGATTTCAAAGACTCAGAATCTTGTGGAAATACCAGGTTGAGAGCCAGTCCCATCCAGTTGGATCATCCTTCAAATTCTCTCCTCCACGCACAAAGTCAGGCTCTCCCAGCCTTGGATCTTGTCCTGGTCCATGTCCGCCTGACGGATGAGGGTCAGGTTGGCAGGGACCCTCACCCAAGAAATATCATGTAGATTAATGTGGGCGGTCGGTGGACGTGGGGCACTTCCATCTGTTGGCATTCTCAGAGTACATGACACAAAGCCGACAAAAAAACCAAGTGCCCATTGACAAAATCCCTGTGGTGGCCTCCTTCAGAACTCCAGGCCCAAGGAGGATGAAGCTTGACAGCCCTTCAGAACTCTGGGTTCAATGCTTTTGCAAGCGTCCTCGTCTGAGACGATGATGACATCAGAAATGATAACAAATCCCTGCAAGCAGCATCGTATACATCCAACATCTTCCAACCCACCATGTCCCACGTCCTGTCCCATCCTCAGCTGCCACGCCTGGACCTCCAGTGTGCCGCCCCGCACGAGGTTCCGGCACGCGTCGGCCGAGGCGACAAGCCTCTCGTAGCTCTGCTGGGCGTGCAGCACTTGGGCGCGCAGGGTCGCAATGGTGGACCTGGGATGCTCGATGACCCATGAGAGGAAAAACCCATGGTCATGTGCCTTCGCGTCGGAATTCCGGTCGGGTGCCAAGAAAAGTGTTGTAGATGTGCCAAGCGATCAACATCCTTCTACCTAAAATTCATGGAAGCAAAGCGAGAACAATTTTTTCCTTTCTGATGTCATTAAACCCACTCCGACTCCAGGAACCACCAAATTTTTACCCCAAACAACACACATCCCACTCCAACCAAAGTGACTCCTGCGCGGCGCGCGTCCCCTTCATCGGCGCGAAGAGCTCCTCGGGCCGCGGCGCAGCGCCGCTCGGCGCCGCGGTGCCCGCGCGCGTGCCGGGAGCGGTGGGAACCACGGCGGCGCGTAGCGGCGCGGGGTCGAGCCTGGGAGCGGAGGGCAGTGTTGCGATGTTTCTATTTTGGAAACCTCTCAAAAGAGGGAACATAGATGGCCAATGAAGGTATTGAAGGAAAACGGCCCGCTTTAAAGGAATTTGGAGAACTAACTTGTTGCTTCAGGTTTCTCCTCCTTCAAAGCATTTCAGAAATGTGGGATTGAGGCCGTTTTTGGTGGCCAGACTTGACCTTGGCTGCGTGAGAATACAATATAGAATGTAAAACCTTTTGGAAACTGAGTCGGATGTGGGGGGTGGGTTGATGATGCTTGAGGATGTTTGACTAGGGATTTGGGATGGACGCACGTGGGCACCTTCGGTGAGAACTATGCAATCCATCCCTGCCATCTGAAGTCTCAAAGTACCCGTACCCAAATAAATGGGTGCCAAATTTATTGCAAGCAGGTGGATGATTTCACACCACTTTGTGTGCGTACTTTGAGGTTGAGCCTGGTCAGAATCCCAACCATGGCCGACACTCGTCAGTTGATTCAATGTTATATCCTTTTGCTGAAACTCCTAACGTCTATGGCATTGAACTTTGAACCGTGTATTGCTGATGTGTCTGTGTGTGTGACCTTCTCTGGCGGTTGTTTGTGGTGTTGTTTTGTGACTTGCTCATCCCAAACTTTAGCCCAGTCCTGTTTGCGTGTTTTTCTTTGTCACAGTCAGTCTGTCTCTTTCCAACATTGCATTACCACATATTACCACCACGACTATAGAAAACGATGGAACATGAATGAACACATCTCGGAATTGCTCACTTCCTCCATGCCCTGATTTGCCCTCCCCCTACAGCTCCTCTGGAACTCACCGCCCACCACTTCACTTGGGTGTGTATTATTACAGTAAGTAGGTAGACCTCCCAGGCGTTCCGACCCACTCAGGGCCAGGAATTCCCACTTGACTCGCCGAGGGCACATCCTGGCGCCCTTGGGCATCTTCGCGTAGCTGGACTCGCTGGGCGCGTTGGCCACACGCGCTGGGCCGCTGACGGACGAGACGGTGGGCTGGGCGTCCGCATTCGGGGCGGCCGACTGGAGGTTCTGCATCCTGGGGCGTCCAGAGGTTTGGGGCGTCGGGAGAGACATGGTGAGACCAAGTTGGTCCTTTTTGAAGGCAACATGTTCCAGTTGATAAAGAGTTCTTGATCAACCGAATCAACTTCAACAGTTGCAATTCAGCATGAGTGTTGTCAAAATTCGAGTCAAACATATACAGGTACCTCGACCATCCAATGACGTACTTTTTGAAGAATGTCCAATTTTCTTTGGTTTTGGTATGTTTTTTTGGTCGAGGCTATGATTTTTGGTTTTACCAATTTTCTGGAAACCAGGCACAACGGAAAACCAACTTTTTGAGTTCCCGGGCTTGTGAAGACAAACCTTGCCATGAAATTGCTCATGAGAGTTGAGAGCTGAGCTTACGCCGCTTACCGCAGAAGATGTTGGGGCGGTTTTGACAATCATCCCTTCAAACCGCGTGGCCGACAGAATGGTCATAGCCTCAGCGGTACACTTTGGCATGCAAGCGCTTTTTTTGTCTGTGACACGTCAATTCTTCACCTCTTTCAGGCAATATGCACAAATATAGCTTTACCTGCCCGCAACCTTGCAGCCCAACTGGTTCTGATAGCCTGTTGTGACTCCACCCCGCACCATGGAGCCACCTGAGTTTCCCAAATCTCTGGCGAAGGCTAGCTTTGAAGTCACGACAGCTGCACGCCAGCTCCAGCAGGATCTATATTTTTGTTGTGCTGCTGATTGTTTGTATTCTTTTGTGTGTCGCTCACTTGGTGATGAGGTCAGTGTGCTGTGCATTATATGATATGTGATTTAGAGGTTTTTTTTTGAGGTATTGAAATTCAATGAGGAGCTGTCAAAGAGCGTGGATGTGCAGAGCCGTGTCCATGGTTGCAAAGCACTCATCCTTTGGCCAGGGAAGGTCGGAGACATCAACGCTCGTAGCATCAAAGCCAATTTCCTTATTTTCAAGGTGATGGGGCGCTATGTGAATGCATCAAAGGGTGAGTTGCTGAGGGTGCCAGTGCTGGAATGGTGCTTCAAGTGCCTCAGAAAGTACTGGAAGGAGTGGCTTTTGGTAGAAGTCAAGAAACACCTAAGATACAATAACAACTGCGACAAGCGAACACAATCACCGGTAGAAACCTTGCATGTTCAAAATGACCGGTCTATTTTACACATAAAATTTCGAGTTGCGCAGGAGCAGCATAATTTGGACTATGCTTTGCCTAAGACAAAGACTGATGCGCGGTCGATCAAGAAACTCTGTCTGTATCTGCGCCGTCTTCGGCTACGAGCTGCCAACCAGCGGGATGACGATAACCAGGAGTTGGCAGAGTCTTGTCATTTCTGTTTGAGAGACGTTGTTTTTGTGTGCAATGTCTGTACTGTTTGTGAGACATTGTTTTTGTGTGCAATGTCTGTACTTGTTTGATACACATGTTTCCTTCCATAGCCATTTTGCGTGGAACCAAGGATTTGATGTTTGCCTATCTTCCTCAGCGTGAGGCAGGACAGGATGATGCAAATGACACGGACGTGGAAGCGATGCATGATGATGGGGACGACCAGGAGGGTGAGTGTGAGGATGAGCATGAGATTGAGAGCGGCGCAGAAGAGGATGCGTCCCCAACAGACATTCCCGATGGTGAGAAACCAGAGCCTGCTACACCTGTCGCCAACGGGGTTCCCAGCGGAGTGGATGCTGATGGAAGCTGCGGGCCAGGTCCCACAGAAGATGTTGGGCCGACTCTTCCGCCAGACTATGAATTGCCGGAGTGGGCGCAAGCTCCGCAATCAGTTTCCGAGACTGACTTTGCGGAATCTGGCCTTCAAACACTCCTGCTGCCACATGAGCAGCCTGAGTTGCTGGAAGCGCTTCATGTTGAGCCGCATCACTTGACAGCCAATGAGTCTTCTTCCCCGGGCAAGGACTCGCTAGATATTCTGAGAACAAATGAGAACTTCAAGCACCACATCTTGGACAATCTGGCTGAGCGCCTGAAAGCTGGAGTTCAACCGTCTGGGGATGAATGTGTGGAAGAGGTGGCAAGTTCTCAGGACAGACATGGACAAATCACATGTTTTCATGTTGGTGTTCACAAATTTGCCACATGTGTACTTTGCAACGGCTGTTCCATCAAGAAAAATATCATATATGGTTGTTTGGACTGACATCCCCTGTGTTGCAAAGGAGCCTGTCCAGATTGACAATGAACTTTTGGCTCCTGGTGCTCCGACATCAACCAGTCCGGCTTTGGGTCTTGACAAAGCAAGCGCACCAGGCAAGATCGCATGTGCTTGGTGTGGTTTGCATGTTTGCTGGCGCTAGTTCGCTGTTTCTCATAGAACCATTAGACTTTGTAATTGTTGTTTTCTTTTTTCGGCTTTGTGAAATTGGAGGCGGTTCGGCGGAGTTGATGCGGGAAGTCAACATGCTGAAGACCAAGCTGATGTCCAAAAAGGTTCAGAAGTTTAACCCAGATGTGATGGATACACTGCCAATGGATACTCAAGTCATCAATGATGCTTGTCAAACAATTGATTTGTTTGCACTTGATGTCTTGTCATTTGTTGCTGATGTAGCCATTGGCTACTTACTTTAGTTGCCGTGATATAGTCTCAGGAAGCGGTGGCAAGGGCAAAATCCGTGGGCAACTTCGACGAGGCAAGGACAACCGCATGCACAAACGTGCACGCTTGCGATCCTGATGCATGTGATGAATACAATATAATATAGTTATCGATCTATTTTCTTCTTTCATTGCCTTCTTGCAGGTCATGGAGATTCCAGATTCACAGGAAGTGCCTCTTGGACGCATAGGCAAAAATCAAGTCGAGATAGAAATTCAGAAAGTATAGCTCTCGTCAGGAAAGCTATGGATGTCGACTTTGACAGTTTTACGAGCCCAAAGCCTCTTCCAGCTGGGGCAGTGTCCAGCTTGCAGTTGGGAGTCCGGACTTTGCTGGAGTGCTCCTGTGCATGCCCTTGATTCTTCAAATACCTGAGGCTGGACCCTTTGAGGACTTGGACAAGGATGCATCGATGGTCAGGGTCAACGCCTCTGAGATCAACAACGGTCAGGACAAGGATGTCAGTGACGTCAGCATGCAGCTGTCAGAGATGTCACTCCAGTCACCCTCACCTGTTTCTCTGTTGGCACCCCTGCAAGATGCACCCACTGAGGCTGCCCAATCAAAGGTTCAAGCTCCAGGTTGTGAGATGCAGGTTGCTGATGTTGTCAAGGTTGCTGAGGAATTGAACCCTGCAGCAGAGTCTCCCCAGGAGCCCACCCAGAAGCCCGCTGAGGAATTGAACCTTCCAACAGAGTCTCCCCAGGAGCCCCCCC